TCGCTGTTCTAATCTGCTTGTGCTGGGTGACTATGACACGTACAGAATCTCTGCTTATTTGTTGTTGCCCTCCACGGAAGGGCATAAGTAAGGAAAAGGAGTCTCCGCCTAACTATGGAGTGGAAGCTGTTGTCTTCATAATACAAGCCAGGGAAGTATCAGGAAGCCTTTTTCTCAGTTGTGTCCTGCTGTGTAAATGTTTACTCCTCAGTGTCCTGCTATGAGTTTAATATGAAACTCTTAAAAGTGCTGTATTTGAAAATAGATTTGCATTTTTATAACTTTAATGTTGTATTCCTTTGAGCTGAACTAAAAAATGTGAGTATAACCTGTTTCTGTAAGTTTTAATTCTTCTCATAGAGAAACTGGAAATTAAGAGAGCTGTTTAAAGAAATGTTTTGTAACCTAGAGACTATCTAGATTTTTGGGAAAGTCCCACTTCCTTAAAACTGCTAATTTAAAAATTAAGGCTGCTGTTAAGGGATTTGAGCTACATTGGGGTATTCAAAAACTGTATTTATCTTAGGTGCTAGAATGAAAGTTAAAGTTTAGACTCTGGTGGTTACAGTTATGGTGACTATGTGGTTGCACGACCATGTTCCCAGAGTTAATAAGAAATTATTAACCATGTTCCCAGAGTTGATAAGAAATTATCAATCACAAAATGTGCTGTTTTACTGCTAAGAGCATAACCCAGTAAGAGACACAGCGAAAAACCCGATTGTCACTTTTATTCCCAGTGGTAGGTCAACAGAAAGGGACAGTTAATGAATGGGGAATAATGAGCTGCAAACCAACTGCTTAGAAAACTCAGTGTGGCAGAGAAAAACCTCAAGAAAGCACCTTTCCAGTATTTCCTCATCACCCAGTCATTAAGAAAAAGATTTAAGTCTTTAAGAAAAATGCAAACAATTGTATTTGAAAATGCTGATGTTCACCTGAAATGGAAAGTTTTTCTTTGGTGTAGTTATCCTTTTAAATTTAGGTAATTGAGATAGTCATATTATTTATCTGAGACTTCCAGCATTGTGAACTGTTTTGCCAGTGTGGAAGTGAGTGCAAGCAAGGATTATAGGTAATCAGAATGTTACTTCCCCAAAAGCTCCCCCTCCAACCATTTGCCCTACTTATCTCACATTTCCTAGTAAGCTTATTTGTTTGGGGAATCTATCCCATCACCCTCTGGAAACAAATTGCTTTAACCTTAGGCCAAACCTATCACTGACAATTCTGTATGCATTATTCCATGAGGTCCTCCTTTGAGGAGGCCATGACTGTAGGTCCTATATCGTGTCTCTGGGATGGGGTGTCACCTATGATTACAACTGTCTCATTGCCCTACGACCTGCTTCTATCCCCAGTTTTCTCAATTCCCATTTGTCTCCTCATGATTGGGGCAGAGGTAGCATTGTACATTTGACCTCACAAGCGGCATTAATGTGAATGTCCATGCCGCAGCTGAGGCCAAGTTCAGAGGGGCTGTCAGTGAGGAATGTGAATCCTTTGGCAAGTGTGTCATGTCACTGATCAAAGAAGTCTGCTTGGTCTTTCTGTTACAGGGCAACCCCGACATGAAATGGGTTGCCTGACTGGATCCTCACCCGTGCGCTTTAAAGGGACTAATTATATAATAAGACTCAACTGTAGGCACAGACAAAAGGGTTAATAAGGGGTTTATTTACAAAAGAAGGGGAAATGAAAAAGGGAGAAAGAGAGGGAGATAAATCTGTTATAGGACAGGGAGAGGGGCAGCCCAAGCCCCGCAAACCTGCCTATTCTAAATGGGTTCTGCCATCCGCCGCATCAACACAAAACATATGACACTTTAATGGGAAGGAACTTTAATAAAAACTAGAAAACAATACAGGTAAGGCAAAGAGTCTAGTTTCTAAATGAAGCACCCAAAGTTACCCGTCCCCTCGTGGGTAAAACTCCATCCATATGGGGTCGGCCCAAAGCAAGGCCCCAAAGCCTGCCACAAGTCTAAAACATCTTCCAGTGGGGACCCACAGAAAAGGGTCACAAACAACTGGACAAGCCCGGAAGGAAAAGAGCAAAATCAACATCCAGATAAAAGCTGCCATGGTCACCTCCCCACGGGTCTCACCCACATCTGTGTCACCCCGTCCACGACCAAAAGACAAGCACAGTTTCTTCACGTGTCTCTAGGCTCCATGCACCTCCTCCAGGTCTCCTGGCTCCATCCTGCTTCCTTCCTTCCTCAGTCTCTTCCTGCAGCTTCTTCTCTTCCTGCTCAGCTCCACCCTCCCTTGGGTGGGGCAGGGAACCTCCCCCTTTCCTGGGGACCACCCTGTTACAAATTGATAAATTGATGAATGCATCTTAACAGTTCCACTGAGCTGGAATCCCAATGGCATGCTGGGAACCAACGAAAAGCTAAGAGCCAAGAGACTCTCAAGGCCCACATGTCTGATTACACCAAACCTGGCTGCTTACCTCCACCCTCAGTTCCCAGCAATCCTCCCTTCGGTGATGATATTATGGGATTTGTAGTCCTTTGGTCTGGGGTAGGGGTGGGATCCATAAAACCTATTTGTGGAGTTTGTTCAGGGCATCCTTTCTCCTCAAGAGTTCTGCAAAGAGATCAAGTTCTTGTTCATGTCTGAGGAAATGGAAAGAGCGACATATTTTGAACCCATGGACAAGGGGTTTTGACTAAAAATCATGAAATACTGGATTTAACATCTTATCCCTTTGAAATGCACTATGTAGATAGCATCAAAAAATTTTCAAGGAACAAAAGCTTTAGCAATATAGGGAAATCTTTTCTAGTAAAAAAAAAAGGGGGAGAGGCTTTTAGCACTTAATGCAGAATGTTCTAGGAGCATAGAACCAAACTTTTCATTGGAACATTAGCAATGAAAGCCTTCACTCGAATGGCAAAATATGAAGTCATTGTAAAGTCAATTAATTACCTGTTAATACCAATAAGCAGAACAGAGTACTCTGAAGGTAAGTTTAAAAGAAGTATATCCTAAAAATAAAAGACAATACATGCTGGGGAGTTAGGATTGCCCTCCCCCTTGCCAGTTGCCTCCAGCGCTCCCAAACCTGGCCAAGTGTTGGCGTGGTTCCTGAGTTCCTGCTGTTGCCAGTCAGCAATCTGTCATTCCGAATGGGTGCCTCTCTGGAGAGCTGACTGAAGGAGCCAAATGCCATGATTGGCCCTCATTCCTTTATTTGGTGGTAGTAGTTAGAATTTCCTGATGCATTACTAACTAGGAAATCCCAACTGCCCAGTGGCAAGGGGTTAAAAACTGTTCTGAAAAGCTTTTAATGTTCTGAAAAGCTAAATTACACATACATGCAAACCACAAACACACAGCACCTGGGTAAATCAAGTGTGACTGAATAAAGGCCGGGCTATTTGCAAAAGGGAATCTGGAAAACATTTGCTTTGGGGTGGTTAACATTACTTACACTTTGTGCTTTTTATTTTTGTTTTTGGGGGAAGAAAGTTTAGAGGAAATGTGCAGGAAAAAATCAGTATTTTAACTATTGAAAATAAGATCAGTTCACTTACTTTCCAAATCTTAAGGGGCTCTGAGGTTTGAGAGGGGCACAGAGCTACTGCACAAAGAAGTTGAAACACTTTTAATACAAAAGTTGTTAAAGAACATTTCTCAGATATACAGTTATGCTATGGGATGCAATGAAGAGGTCATTAAACAATTATTGTTTTCCAAATATGGATGTAAACATCAGTGGTAAATGGCACCAGCTCATATACTTAAGGTTAAAAATGCTATAAATTCAAAGCCATTGCATTTTATAAGAAGTCAAATTTTCTCAGATGTAACAGATTTTGAGCAACCAAGTCATACTACAAAGGATTTATGCTGTGCATACTGCTTCTGGGTACCTGTGGCTAAGTGCCTTCTCTTTGAAGGAAAAAGGAACTCCATTATGGCAGGGTTTCACTATGTTTCAGTAGAAAGCTACTAGGCTAAACCATAAGAAATGACTATTAATCAAAAACTTTCAAAATTATTAATTTCATATAATTCAAATCTAATACTTCAGGTTTTTTGTAAGCCATGTCAACACGGGGTTGACAGTTGCATTTATGAAAGGAGGATTTAGAAACAAACAGTAAAGGCTTTGTACCCCAGAAATAAAATGCTTGAGTAGAATGTATGGGCTCCCACTGGGAGAACTGTGGGCATGAAACTAGCATTATGATCTGTCAGAGAAGGTTTCAGAATTCACCTTTTCATCTAGGATGGGGGTGAAAGGAGAGAAGTTTGGTGGGGTTATGGAAGAGTATAGCAGACTTTTCTTCATCCGAAAGGTTACAAGATGGAAACACCTTCAGCATTAACATCCTAAGCTGCAAACACACATACGAATCAGTTCTCAGGATCCCTGTGCTACTAGCCACTGCTAATAGATAAAGGAGAGCAGAGGTATTATGATAAACAATATATATCCAATTCATGTATTCAAATTATTAACAATGGAACAAGAGAAAACCATGTAAAATTGTTCTTGGGCAACTTTTTATTCTCTCTATACCATAGCACCATAATTATGTTGCAGGCACAGTATTTTCCTGTAAATTTTGCACATTAAAAAAAAAAGCAAACATTTATAACCTAAGAAATTTCAATTACATAAAGGATTACATCTATAGTGAAAAACCCTATTGAAACGTAAACTCTTAAGTAAAATGTGTGCATTACAGATGATGAGGGTAAGTTGTGATAATAGAGCACACAATCCCTGAAGATATTATTAAAAGCCTAGAAATCTGTAGCTACCGAATGCTGGGCTTTGTAGTGTCATGTCCCTGGGTAATGTAATCATGTGCAAGGGAACCTGGAGGGTACAAGGAAGCACAACTACAACACAGGAGAAAGACAGGCACTACAAGTTCTAGTAGAAACAGTTTTTAAATATGTTTTCTTTCGAATTTTTATAAATTAATGTCAAAGTTCTTATTTAACTTGGTAAAGATTTTAAAAAACAATGTTAAGCAATTATTTTTATAATTTTTAAGTGTCAAAAAGTTCAACATGGAACAAATGTAAAGATGCTAAATGCAGATAAAACAGGATACAAAATCTAGATCTAAAACAACTATAAAAGTCATTATCAGACATTACTATAAATTCCACCCTATAATCTCATAAATCAAGGCTCTTAACTGTCTGGATTCATAGGTGACTGTATTCTTCCCAATATGTATTCTTTCTTCTTCCAGGGGTTGTTCAATAATGGCAGGTATATTCCTGCCATAAAATTCACAATGTTCTAGAAATTGGATACATTCTTCAATAACGCTGTCACGCAGCATGATCGTGTGTTTTGACATGTTTTCCAGTAAGGACAGGAAGCATCGTTTGGCATAATACCAGGTATCGGTTCCCAGTTTTTTATTATAAGGTTCTAAGCTTTTGATTACCCGGGAAATACCAAAGTCATAGTTCCCTTTGGCACAATAAAGTGTCCCTATGACCAAATTCACAATGCACAGGTGGTAGATTTTCCTATCCGGTTCATCATAGGAGAGCTGCTCCTCCTCCTTTTCAATCTTCCTCATCAACTCCTCAGCTTCTTCATTCTGACTTGTCATAATATATGAAACGCAGAGGTTAGCCAATACAATAGCACTGACATGCAGGATGTTGTCATAATGCTTCTTGACTATGGGCTCATAAAAACCTATGGCTTCTTTGTATTTGTTCTCCTGCATGAACAGAACATGAGCCACATTCAGCTTCCAAATATCGTGGTCATTACAGAACTCCACAGATTTGCGGAAGATCTTTTCTACCATCGGGTAATTTTCAAGGTTCCAGTAGATTTTTGCCTGGGCCATCAACACGGGGATATACTTCTCAAGGGTGTCATCATATTCATTCACTGCTTTTTTGACAGCTTCATCATCTCTATTGTGTCTTGCTTCCTGTACTTGTATGGTGATTTTTCTGAGTTGTTCAGTCAGGATCCCCGCGAGCCCATCAAGCTTAATGAAAGCCTCTTCAGGAGCTGTCTGACATGTGATCATGGCATCCAAGAAGTCATAGAGATAGGGTGTGAGGAACTTATAAGTCAAGTGGGCATTTTCTGCCAGGACATCTGCTGCCAGATCAAAATACTCATACTTACAGTAGAGCAGCAGCAGGTTGCCAAAGGTCTCTGGGGGAAAAGGGTTCTGTTGGAGCAAAAACTGTAGCTTTTCAAAACCTTCTGTAGGCCTGGCATCCATGTTCATTAGCGCCTGGTTGTGCAGGGTCACAGGATCTAACTCTTCCTCTGCCCTAGGTGGCATGTCAGTGAGAGCTTCCTGTGCAGCCTCATAGTTTCTCAGTTGGTATTCAATGGCCGCCTTGAGGTTGAAGGCTTCCACCAGAGCAGTCTGGTGAAGGACTAAGGTGTTGCCCACACTGCGAACATCAATGCCTTCAGTGGTCATGCCCACACCTAGCTCTGGGTGCTGGCGGATACCACGCTCAATAATGTCGGCGATATGCTTCAGGGCTGGGGCATAGTGGCGGCTGCTGTAATAGGCCAACGCCAGGTTGTAGGAGAGGTCAGGCCGGTAGCCTGAGGACTGCAGAGCCGCAGAGAACTTGGAAGACGCGGCTTCATACTGTCCCTCCTTGTAGAGTAAACAGCCCAGGTTGACCTGGCCATCAGGCTCGTTCTCGCCCCCACTGCCTTCTGTCCCTTCCCCACTCAGCAGCTGCTCCACCAGGCTTCTGGCCCCGGGCAGATCACCCTCACTGTACTTGATAGCGGCTTGGAGTCGAAGCACTCGGTTGTGATAGGCAGGGTTGTCCAGGAGGAGGAAGGCGACCCGGGTGGCCTCCGGATAAAGGCCGGCTTTGTAGAGCGCCTGGGCCTGGTACAGGCGGTACTGCTCCAGCTCGGGGTGCAGCTGGCCCAGCTGCTCGTAGCACTCGGCCGCCAGCGCGAACTCCTGCAGACGGTAGTAGCAGTAGCCCAGCAGCGACAGGCCGGCGCGGCTCCTCGGGCTCCGCTGGAGCTCTCCGCCCAGCAGCTGCACCGCCTCTGCGTAGCGGGCATCCCGGATGAGCCGGTACACGACGGCCGTGTACTCCCCATCGGGGATCTGCGCGCCGCCCAGCCCCGCCATAACCGCCAGGGCGGGTGTGCGTCCCAGTTACCACGGCAACAAGCCAACCGGAAACGGAAGACTACAAAGAATGTTTTGGGCTGGTGGGGGTGGGTGCGATATCCAAAAGTTTCTTTGCAGCGGTAGGTTTAGGTCAAAATTGGAAAGAAATCACCGTGTGACTACCATATCCGGGGTCTGGCCCACCAAAATTCCAAACGGTGAAGCTGAGGCGCGGCGTTAAACAGGGAACAGGAAAAGCCGCCGCTCAGTTCCGATTCGGAAACTCTGCTTCTCGGCAGACATTGCGCCAATGTCGTCACCGCTGCGGACGTGGCCGCATGCATTGTGGGAAACGTAGTCTTTTCTGCAAGTCGGCGCTGCCTTCCTGCCTGAACATATATAAGGGGGTTTGTTACCTGTCTGTTGTGCCACATTGGCTTTGGCGCAGAGGAAGGTTTGAGGTCTGAAGTTCCTTTCGGTTTTTTGCCTTTTGTAATGCATGCAAGTAATGTGCGTTCAGTGTGTTGTAGTAGTGAAAGAAGTAGGAATGGAAAAGGCGTTCTTCTGAAATTAGAGTAGATTCCGTTTGGGAGGCCGCCCTGAAGGCAAACTTTCTAAGAGCAGAGTAACAGTGACCAGGAGGCTTTATTTTGTTTCCAGGGGTTGATAGCAGGAAAGAGTACTTGTGGATCTTAGCTGGTGCTGATGAGATGATTTATTTCCACCCATCCGTCGACTTCCTTTCCCATAACAAATATTCCTAGCACACTATAGCATTTAAACTTGGCCCTACACACTGTCTTGATACTTCAAATTTCACTCCAGCTGGAAGCATTGGAGAAATCTCATCTTTTCCAATAGAGAAGAAAAAAATACGCAAAGACCCAAAGTGTTCCTTTTAGTACACATGGTTACTCTTGTAACTGTTAACTTAGTTTGTGATGTAGGTATGTGACAGTGAGAGAGACATGCCTAACTGCTTGTCAAGCTGAATGACACTAGACTGATGAAAAGTGGTTTTATATTGGCTAAATTTTTTTTAGTTGTTGTAGGGTAAAGAAAATGTCAGGCTTTTCTGCCCTCCCGCCATCAGGATAGATGATGGATCTGCAGTCCCGAATGCATGCCTGATGGCGGACACCTGGAGTAGGGTGTGGGCATAGGTAGATGAGATTCAGCTGAGCTAAGACTGTGCTTTTTAAGGGCGGCGTCACGGGGACGCCAGAAGCTGAGAAAGAAGCCGATGAGAGAAGCAAAGAAGCAGAAGCAGAGAACGCCAGAGAGCCCAGATAGAGTGAAGATTTGCTGGGGGCTGGGAGGCCGGCAGTCCCCCCCCCCAACCCCCTGCCTGCCACGTACCCGCTGAACCCCAATAAAAAACCTGCAAAATGACTGAGGACTCTGACTCCTCCTTTACCCGGTCTGCATGGGATCAGAAAACCTGCACTGTTTCCTTTTCTGCCCTTTACAGTTGGCGTAAGTCGGCAAGATGATCCATGCAGACGGGTATGGAGCCCTCCGAAGAGCTGGAGGGACTACGGAGTAAAAGACTGCCTGTGATGACGCCGGAGGCATCATAGCAACCCAGGAGATGGACAATGTCCAGGATCTATGGGATAAGACCTTGCCCAGAGGAGGAGAAGGAGAGGCCCGAGAGAACCAACCAAAGACACCTGAAAGGATCAGCCAACGACCCCTGAGGCAGCAAGAATCATCGGCAAAGAGAGGACCAAGATTTGGAGCTCGCCAGTGCTGATTCAGGGAGATGCCAAGAGACTTGGACTGATGGACTGACAATTGAACTTGGACTGACAATCCCGCCAGAAGGCGGAGGACCTTGCAGGTTGATATGTTTTGGGACCCTGGGGGTGGAACAGTTTTGTTTGTAAACCCCAGGAGATGGGAATATGGGGGTGGCCAGTGGGCCTAGAAGGCCAAAAGCAGCCTGTGCATGCCCAGCAGCCAGGCGGAGGAGAAAAGCCAACTGAGAAGGCAAAAGCTGGTGCTGATGCTAAGTTGAGAAGCCCTGAGTGGCTGTTAAGCAGCCTGAGTATGCTGAAGACCTGTGAGTCTCGTAAAATCACCTGTGGGTGATGCCCTGCTCATTCTTGAGTGAGGGTGAGGAGCTGAGGAACCCGTCCTTGGGGGACGGGTGGGGAACGTGGCTTGGGGTGGAGCCCAAGCCAAATGCAGAGTTTGGATCCCCAACCCATGTGCTTGTGCAGTGGATTGGCCTGAGTGCAGGGGTCTGCGAGTCACATGGGTGGCTGTGAAGGCGAGTGTTGGAGCGACTGCAGACAGAAACCCTGAGGGTTGGCGATTACCCCCAACAGAATAGAATTGCCAGTCCCAGAGCTAGTGCATCCTGGGGGTGGATGCTGTGTGTGCCTTGTAGCCGAGACTACAGCCAGAGAAGGCCAGGAAGTCTGACGGCTCCTGGTGTGTTATAGTAGATGTCGTGAGTGATTCCCCTCCCTCGTATGAGCAGTGCCTTCGGCAGCAGATTTGGTGGCTCATCTGCTGGTACCAATAATCGTCTTTTGCACTAGGTTGGTGTCCTGCCTGGATTTATTTGTGTTCTGTTGTATTTTGTTATATTGTATTTTGTTATATTTGATGTATTTGCTTTTGTGGGCCATGGCTGCATTGTTTGTTTGCTTAGAAAATTGTATATATATATGTATAGACTGTATGGCAGAAAACCCTGAGTGGGTGGACTGTAGGGTAAAGAAAATATCAGGCTTTTCTGCCCTTCCACCATCAGGATAGATGACGGATCCTTGTCCTGAATGCATGCCTGATGGTGGGCACTTGGAATGGGGTGTGGGCATAGGTAGATGGGATTCAGCTGAGCTAAGACTGTGCTTTTAAGGGCGGTGTCACGGGGACGCCAGAAGCTGAGAAAAGCCGATGAGAGAAGCAAAGGAGCAGAAGCAGAGAATGCCAGAGAGCCCAGATAGAGTGAAGATTTGCTGGGGGCTGGGAGGACTGCCGGCCTCCCAGCCCCCCTGCCTGCCACATACCCGCTGAACCCCAATAAAAAACCTGCAAAACGACTGAGGACTCTGACTCCTCCTTTACCCGGTCTGCATGGGATCAGAAAACCTGCACTGTTTCCTTTCCTGCCCTTTACAGTTGTCCACACTTAACTTTTTTTGGTCAGTCTTAGCATAACAATCTCTATGGAGATGCACAGGACTGCACAAAAAACCATTCAGGATTTTCTTTTGTTCCTCTGTCGCATTTATGAATAGATGCTGTAGGTGCCAAATGTTACTACCTTGCATCTAATTTTGTCAGAATTTTTTTGAAAAAACTGGACTTAATTATCCTGTAAAAGTTTATTTGGTCAGTAATTAAAAAAAAATACCTGTAGTTTAGACTAACCTGGAGACTGTAGAATTTGTGGGAAATTAATAATTAATTAATTAATACAATTTTCCAGTCAAGTATTAGGGTTGCTGACCACCTAGTAATGGACAAAACTGACTCATTCCATTGAGGTAGTGGTAAATGTGCAATTTTCACTATAATTTATGAATATCTGACATGTACTACACTTCTGCTGGTGGCCTGCTGGTTTGTGAGTTATCTTTCACTGTTTTCCATGATATTCCAGATTAAAAGCATGTTTTTGTTATATCATTTAACAACATCAATGCAAATCCTTTATCTACCTCCTCAATAGTATTGCTGCCCATACATCTTTTCTATATGTCAGTTACACACTGCTTGTATAGTCAGAGATACACTGTTTAATTCTATTAGACTATTCACTATATCTTAGTGATTACTGAATCATGATATCCCAAAGCTAAATTCATTAGGAAACGTTAACTGATAAGTTAATTCAAACTTTAGATCATCCCATTGGGCCAAGTTTGAAGATTGGTGTCTTGGGGTTTTGTTGTTGCTGTTATTTTCTCATAAAACAAACAACTTTGAACAGTTGAATTTGAATTACCTGACCTGAGTTGCAGCTGTGAGTAGATGTTAGGAAGTAATGAAGTGGGAGGTGGTGTAGTTCCTACGCACCTATTATAGCCACAAAGAAATTTCAATAAAGTGTATGAATACTATACTATCAAAGGATTGCCTTTATATATTCATACATGCTTCTCTCTTCTGAGAAGTTTGCCAAAGGTACTGGACAAAGTGCCTTGTGCTGCATGAATACCAAAAAGGAACAAATTGCATCCATTTCAGAGGTTTGAGTGGGACTCTGGACAACCTAAGATCCCCAGAGAATGCAGCTGACGAAGACTCAGTATGACCCTGTTTCGAGACTTCTTCCAACCCATCGTCCAGCTGCAGCCCTTTCTGGTCTTTGACCCAAGAAGGTATGTGGTTTCAGGAATACTGGGCTAGTGCTACTCCAAAATCAAGGTCTAAAGTGTCTTTTTCCTTATGCCTACCTCATTAACACTTGTGTTTTGAAAATTACAGTTATCCCTAAGGCTCAATATTTTAAAATCCTTATGTATTTTAAATCCTTATATATTGAGCTGTTACCTTGGTGTGTTGCCATTAAGTCAGGATGACAGAACATGGAAATGGGAAATTGCCTTTTATATCTTCAGCCTGTCTCTGTTGTTCAGCGTTATATTTCCATCATGCAAGCATTCACCTTCAAATGGCTTCTTGGCAATGTATGGAAAACAGAAGGACTTTCTGCTCTCCCCAAAATTCTCTGATCCCTACAGGGATCAGTTGAGGTTCCGCTTTTTGCATGGATACCCCTTTGTGAGTGTGGCAGCTGAAGTGGCAGGAGGGAGGCCATTTTGTGTCTTCCTCCTTATTTCATGTGCTGCTGCTCCAAGGCCTGGCTTGAAAAAGGCAGGACATTCGGCTTAGACAGATGGAGGGCAGGGTCATTTTCAAAATGAAATGAGTGCACAAATCACTCTGTGAAATTGGCATGACCATCACTGCTGCTGTGATAGACCGACTTTTATTAGTCTGTGATAGGCAGTTGGGGAATAATTTTGGGGGGAGGGATGGTGGTGGAAGAAGTCCCTTTAATTAATGATAGGAATTCTGGAAAACAGTAAACAGAGTGGAATATTATAAAATGTCATAGATGATCACTGTGTTTCCAAATCTTGAAAAGCTGGAGCATATGTCAAAAAGTAAGTGTATCATACCATTGCTAGCAATAAGGAAGCATTTTTTGTTTGCAATAAAGTGATTTATTGCCTTATTGAAAGGAAATAGGCTTTGAGAAAATGGCGTTGGACTTGGGTGATTGTACTGCATTGGCGGAGGCATGTTTACCATGTAGAAGAATTCCATTC